TAAGATGCCGGTAAAAATAAGCTTTTGATCATACCAACTAACTGTAACTGTTATGTCATTTCTAAACAATGGTTATACCATGAATCTCATCACTTGTAAAATGAACCTGCACATCTAAGTTATGCCTTCAATGGGACTTTAGAATTCTTTCATATAACTGAGGCTAAATTATATAAAATATTTAAATTATATTTCTTAGTTGAAAAATATTCAGATGCTGGTTCTATTTGCCTGATGATACAGAACAAATTAGAAATAACAAATAACTTGAAAAGTTTCTCTCTTGTGTTACATGTGTTCCTAAGTATCACTTTACAAAAATTATTTTAGAAGAGTCAAAATTATGTGCATATTACTTATTTTACTTATGTTAAAGATACCTGGTTACTTAAATCTTGATGCAATGATCTTCATGCCAAGAGAAATGTTGCTCAACTTTCTTCAAATTACTCCATATTTAACCTATTATTTCCCACTGAGGAAAGGAAATACCCTAAAGATGAACCATTGTTTTCTCCATAGAGGAAATCTCTAATGAGATATTAGACATAACTTGCTTAACACAAAAACAGAAGGGGAAAAATGTTCCCAAAACACCCTGAAAAAACCAAATATTTGAAGAATGTGTGCAATCTATTTTTTTTTTTACTAGAGCAATGAGTTTCAACTGGTGTGCTGCACGAAATTTTAAAACATGCAATACTTAACTATTTAGTCTGGGCTACTGGCCTCTTTTCCCTCAGATGATCAGATAAAAAATGACAACATCCAACACAACAGTGGCCTTCTGGTGTAAATGCCCTGTCTTGAACCATTAGCATAGATGTCATATAATAGAGTGGCATCTTATTGGACATGTGGCTTAATAAGACTGCATCTGACTGGTTAATTCTTGGTACCAGAAATGCTTATATATAAGTATAGGTACCGGAAGGGAGTTTTTAAAAGTCACTTTGGAGCAAAAAAGTAGGTGATTATTATTATTTTTTTGTAAATCAACTAAAATTATACCTATTCTTGTCTGTTGGCAAAAAAAATGCATTTTTTTGTGCCGAAGAATTTCAGTAATTAGTTTATGGGTGCCATGAGATGAAGAAGGTTGAAAATGTTGTACTAGCGGCTTGAAACCTGAAGGCGTTGTGTCTTAGGCCATGTAAGATAGTGTTTTCCATCACCTTGTGAGGTCACTAAGAGTGACATATTAAGACCCTACTTTATTTTTTCCACCCTTTCCCCAGTTCAAGCACTTGCTTGTATATTGGCAGTCAAATAACCTCATCATTGCCTCATTGCTAATTTCTGTGTGACCTGGGTAAGTCAAGTGACCTCTCTAAGCCATTCTTTTCTTGTGGATAAAATGAGGGGATTAGACTGGATGTTCTGTAGGGTTCTTTCAAAAGCTAAAGAGTGCTTATCAATCTACCCAGCCCCTAAGAGACAAATTGCTTTCCATAGCATTCTGACACATCTCTGCCACTTTAAAACAGCAAGAGCACAAACTTCGGGGTCACAGAGAGGGGAAAAATGGAGTAAACAGTCCTGTGGGGGAAGAGCAGAAGGACCTTCTCTACCCTACTGCCTGCAGGAAGCTACTGTTCAAGTTATATTTCTGCCTCATTCAGAGGACGGTTGTGTTTTTGTATTTACTGTATGGGTTTGAGTTGCCCATAAAAGTGACTGGAGCTGAGGCAAGAGTATCTCTGACAGTCAATCTGAAAAGAGCCTGGGGTAATCGAGATCACCGTTTAAATGTGTCGAGAGTACTAAATGAGTGTGGTGATGAGTAGTAGTCCACAAAGATGTCAACCTATCGGAGCACTTCCTCCTGCATTTCCAGACATTTCAGGAACCCACTGTTGCTTCTTCTTTACAACTCAAAGGAGTTTCAGGCTTCCTTGACAACAGGAGAAAAAAAATGACAGTGCCCGGGGCATGTAAAGAAGTGTAAAAAGTCTGGACTCCATGACATTTCTTTAAAGAGCAGATATGGGTTACTTGTGGAAGTGCCAGTTTTAACTGATGGCTTCTTTCTCTACCAGCCTGAGGGTGCCTAGTATCACTTATGTTACTTGAGAATCTTAGTTTACATTAGGCAGAATATTTAATATTTTAGATCTTGCAGTCTCGCTTCCAGCCCTTTTGAGAGGCAAGGAAGCTGGAGCCCAGGAAGTGAAATGATAGAGGTCTCCTGCATAGTTGCAGAGCAGGGCCTGGCTCTCCATAATCCAGACCTTACTCCACCACTCAAATAGAGACAAGAAAGGGGAGGGAGCATCTATTTAGTACCTTTTTGTGTGTGCCAGACACTCTTCTAGGTGTTTTGACACACATAATAGTGTTTAAATATGCTCTAGTCTATAGCATGTGCAATGTCTCTTTGAAATGGTCTTAAAATATGTTTTAAACATAGATTCGTTTTTACCACGCTGGATCCAGATCCACTGTCACTATACATGCGGCATGGTTTCTTTCGTTTTCGTTTTAATTTTTCATCATGAGCTGAAGTTGTCTGGGATCATTTACATTCTTATGACCAAGGGTGTTTATTGACCAACACAAACACACAACAGCGCAGGTCAGCGGTGTGGTCCAGGTGCTGGAACAGTTTTGCCTGTGCATCAACTGGCCTCAGTGAATGGATCTGGCACCGTGCGTTGGCATAGAGAGTCCCATTGGACTTATAATATAAAACAGACTAAACAAATGAAAACTGGCAACCCAAATTCCATAAGAAAAAGTGGGTTTCGTGTATAAGCATGAAAGCAATTTTTTGTTATACACACCTGCTTCCTTCATAAATACCCAACTGTGACATGTAAAGAAGAAATATTGGTGCTGGGATGCTGTACAATCCAGCTATGGTACAGCTTCGAAAATCCCCAGCCTTTTTTGTTTCCACTGTATATGTCTCTATAGATAATATCACTGCAGAATAAATAACTATTATTGTGATCAAAGAATAGTTAGCCTTATAAAGACTTGATTTGCAGTGCCATCTACTGGAAACAGATATTGACTGGCTTTCAGATTTTGTATATAAGTGTGCATGTTTCTGTACATATGTATATTTATGTATTTAGAGAGCATTGGGAATACTGATATCAGAGGTAAGGAAAGAATTAGGTCCTTACTTTATGTGATTACAGATAATGACTTGGAAGCTCTAGTTTTAAATAAACTGAAATACATTCATATCAAATCATTCATCCCTTAAATAACATATAGAGTACTTGCATGTTTCTTTGAAAAATTAAATCTCTTCTATTTTTTAAAATGGTCATTACAATTCGGTTTTTAATGGGGCACTATGATTTTTTCTTATACCTTTAAATACTGATTTTTACATTCATAACTTGTCTCTGAAATACAGTTGATGAGTCTTTGGAGGATTTCGGTTTAATTTCATACTTGTGGGTAAGGGACTCAAGGAATTTTCCAGGTTTCCCAAACCAAGTTCTTGAAGAGGTAAATGCTTTGAGAGTTAGATATAGAAAATAAATTAATAATAAATAAAAACAAAACTCTGCTTATGTTTATTCATTCAACAAATATTTATTGAGTACTTACTATGTGCTATGTTCAACAATCTGAAAATACAGTGCACCAAACAGACAAAGCTTTACTCCCTGGTATCTCTTTTCATCTAGGAAAGCTCAACAATAAACACGTGAAAATGTGACATGTCATGTGGAAGTTAGTACTGGAAAAGAACACAGCAGGGAAAGGTACACAAAGGAACGAGCAAGTCAGGGGGGTGACATTTTATATGGGAGGGTCAAGGAAGAGTTCTCTGATAAGGTGATATTTGAGCACAGTGTTGCATAAAGGCCCTGAGGTTGTCTTGGCTCCATTTCAAAGAATAAATTATGCAAAATTTGATGATATTTAACAGCATAAGCACAAGCTATTAACTTGTAGTCTCTGAATTAAGTAAGGAGTACTGGTATTTCCAGACAAGAAACCCTCTTCCTCGCTACCTTCTATTATCTTTACTCCTGCTTCATTACTCAATAGTTTCATATTCCTGAAAATATGAATGGAATATTTCAAAACAGGAATGTGGCTAGCAACTGATTCATATGACAGTAAAAGAATTTAATTATAGCTTTCTCATTGGAAATAAAACCTTCATGTATACCAATGCTATATTACGTCTGTGAAACTTTTTCAAGTGCTAAACATCTAACAAATATTAATGCCCAGTATGAAAAGCAGACAATAGACTAATAGCCTGTTTGTAGACAAATCATTTTAAATTCGCATGACAGGGGCAGTCATGGAATAACTGCAGAACAAAGTAGTGAAATGAGAAGGGACAAGAAATGAAGAGACTTGGATTTTAATCCCTTAAAAGATTCTTTAGGAGTCAGTGAATCTACCTGAGCCTCAGATTCCCAGCTTTAAAACAGACATCATAACTTCTTACCTCCTAGTGTGGAGAGAATTTAGGGAGGCACGATATAGCTGGTGGCTGCTACAGAGCTTTTACTTGGTTGCTAAAAAACACTTCCTTCGATCATTTTTTTCTTTTCTTTTTTGCTTTGTAATAAACTACATTTTCTAGCTCAGACCATGAGTCAGAGGAAACCATAGAAGCGGCGTGTTGTGAGGCTATAATCCAAGTCATTGTGAGTTATTGTCTGCTTCATGCCATGCATCGTGGTCGGCACTATTTGCCTTCATATTGTGCACTCTTGTTTCACAACACTTAGCATTTTTATAAAGGACAGAGGTAGAAAAATTGTGTGTATGGCTGGTATTTCTTGGGAGTCTTTTGTTCATGTGCCTTTAGCTGCTAAAAAGAAAGAAAGGAACGCCGTAAAACCAGGAAACTCTTCAAGACAGAAATTTATCCACCTTCTTTCTCTTGATTCTCAGTAGCATAAATCCCATTGAAAGAGCCAATATTTTCCTAGTTTAAAAAAATATCAGGTTTTTGTCTTCATTCCACTTGTCAACTAAAAGACAACATTTGACAAAATTTTAGTAGTGAAAAAAAATATATGTTTAAAGATCAAAACCCAAATATGACAATTTATACACAGAAGGCGCTCAGCAAATGTTTGTGGAATTTGGTCTTGGCTTTGGACTGACCTGAATGTACTGTGTAGTGATGGGCCCTCCCCTCTTTACAATAAATGCGATATCATCCTACATACACTTTTGGAAAGATCAAAAGTCATTTCTAGCTTTTTAGCATCTTAGAAGAAAAGGGACAATAAGAATTTTGGTTTGTTGGAAGCAAAGACTGTTTGCATAGATTCTGAGGGACTGATATGCTCCTCAGATCCACTCTTTGGGTTTATGTCCTTTGTGCTTTGTTGTTCTGGAACAGGAGGACACATTGTGTTGGGCAGAAGCCCCAGAAATGGACCACTAATGCTTTTAATTAAAAGCTATTTTTCAAAACTGAATGCTAGTGATACAACAATTTGGGGGTGCTGGGGCCTGCTATGTAGACTGCACTTTTTAAAAGCTATTGATAATATGACTTAAACTAGAGAACCCTAGAACTTTGACTAAAGATCTTAACATCTTAATCACAAGCAAGCTGCTGAAGCACTTCACCAGAGAAAGATGCAAAAACAATTTTAAGGATTTTATTTATTTACTTTTAGAGAGGGAGAAAGGGAGGGAGGAGAGGGAGAGAAACATCAATGTGTGAGAGAAACATAGATTGGTTGCCTCTCACACGCCCCCAAGTCTACAACCCAGGCATGAGCCCCCATGGGGAAATGGGGAATCCAACCAGTGAACTTGTGGTTTACAGGTCAATGCCCAACCCACTGAGCCACAGGGGTCAGGGCAGAATGATGCAAACTTGAGCCATCAGTAATGGTAGTGTTATTCTGTCTTGAGCCTCAGTCCTGGGCCCTTGGGAGAGGACTTTCTAGCGTTGCCAGTTTCTTTCATCTCAGTGCCACCTTTCCTGGCGTTCCGCACAACAGCAAATAGTTCAGAGGCATGGACTTTCCTACCCATGAAAAACATGGAATGGGTTTCTGTGTTTTTCCTAAAGGAGGCAGTGAGAGGTAAACTGTCATTTACTGGTATATTTCATTTATGGTGGCATTCTTTACCTTTCACCTGACATTCAGTGCCATGGCCCTAGGCCAGGACATTTGAAAGGTAAAAAAGTCACATGCAGTCATGGTGGAGAGAAGGAGGAGAGTTAAGTTTCACAGTTCATCATGGGAGAAGTACAACACTCATTTATTCACTTAGAAAAGAAGCATATTGTTAGACCACCAGCTTAGGGGTGCAATCAGGGGGCAAATAAATGGCACCGGCACTGATACCTCTACACCCCTCAACGTCTCTCTTTTGCAAAAGTGTGAGGGTATGGAGGTTGAGAATGGAGGCTATGATGGTTAATTTTAGGTGTCAGCTTGTTGTGGCCATGGTGCCCAGATAGTCGATAGAACATTATTCTGGATGTTTCTGTGAATGGGTGTTTTCGATGAGATTAACATTTAAATTAGTGGGTATTAAGTAAAATTATCCTCCATAATGTGAATGTGCCTCATATAATCAGTTGTGGGCCTGGCAGACTTATAACCAGTGGTTATAAGGAATGCTTTATAATGTCACTTCCCTCTAGTTCTTTTGAGGCTATAAGAATGGTGCACCGCCCCCATTTCTTTGCTCCGATCCTGGGCTAACACTCTGCTCTGCGTTGGGCCTCCTTTACCGCAGTAGGCGCACCAGGAACCAGGCAGCAGCCAGGAGAAAATGAAATGACCCACCTTCGGCGTCACAGGCCTGGAGGAGGTGCCATTGCCATGACTGGCCATCCCTTGACCCATCTGCTTCCAATTTTCTGCTCTATTTATTCATTGTATTTTATCATACCACATTATTTTATTATCCATCACTAAAGGTAGATGGATTTTTAAAAAAATCAATCAGCATATTGATAAATGATCACGTCACTGACAACTACAGTTTAGTAACAGTTTCTGACACTTTCATATTTTGCTGAGTACATTTTACATTTGTTTCAGTAAACATACAGCAGAATGCTTTGACCCCACCTTCAAAATATGTTCTGTATTTGACCATCTCCTCCCTCCCTTCCTGGCCCACACCACTGGGCTCGCCTGGCTTCCAGGTGAGCTCTTAAAGAGCAAATCAAGTCGCCCCGTTCCCTGCTTGCAACTTGCCAGTGGTGTCACATCTGAAATTCTCACACAAGCCTTTTGCCTCCCGCTCCCACCTCCCTTTCCGGTTTGTCCACTCAGTTCACTTCCCTTGCTTCGTGGGGCTCCATCAGGTATTTCTTGGACAGACTGAGGGCACACATTTCTGAGGGCCTTTGGTGCTGAAGATAAACAGTCCCTACCTCTCCTGGCCCTGGGAAAGCAATAAGGATCCTATTCCTTCTGCTCCTGCACATAAACCACAGCGCACCTCTCTCCCATGGAGCTGGGGAACTGGGCAGAAATGGATCATTTCTATATTCATGCTCAGTTTCCTTCAAATCTCAATTTTACATGCAGATCTTTTGTCCAGCAATTGAAGTTCTAACGGCAAATTCTAAGAAAAAAAGATGATTACACAAATATAATGTACAAATATGTCCACCACAAAGTTCTTGAAAATACTGCCCCATGGAGGGCGATTACACATACACTACGTGAGGTTTACACATACAGTAAAATGTAACACAGACTTTAAAAGTTATGTTGTGGGTTTATAGTCTTGGCACAGAAAGTATTTTTTAAATATTTTAAAATATAATATATTCTATGATCTCATTTTTATTTAAAAATGCATGTATGTATCTATGCCTGGAGGAATCTGGAAACAGAGATATCAAAATGGTAAGTTCATGGTGGCATTATCACTAGTTTTATTTTCTGTTTTATAACTTTATACATCATATAATATATATTTCAACATGCATCTATTAATTTAGAAAAATACACATTTTTAAAAGATAATATTTGCACATGGTACAAAATTTAAAGGGTACAAAAGAGTAAGCAATAAAAGTTAAGGCTCCCTCCCCCTCATGTCCCCTCCCGGATGACAGATAACTCTCACCTAATTTTCCCAAGGGTTCGTGCTTTTTCATAGATTGTTTTCATGATCAGAGACACAACACCACCTGTTCTATCTTGAAAAAAAATAACTTCATGAAGATTAAAATTAAGTCTTTGGGACTTCAATGAAATGCAGGAACTGAAGCAGGAATAGTAATACAGCTACTTAGATCTTCTTTGCTTTGCAATAGAGAAGTAGACAGGAACTACTGAACATTATTTCCCAACTCTGTGGTAAGTAGTAAGCCTTCCTTGTTAGAAGACATTTACTTAAGGACATGTCTTCTTCTCCCAGTACACTATATGTTTTGAGGGCAAAATTGGTGTCATGCAATTTCCGTGTCTTCCACAGCGCTGATACACAATAAAATTAATTAATTAATGTTTAAGTATAATATCTATAATTTACCAAGATTTTATAAATTGTAAGTCTTTATGAATACCAGTGATTCTCATGACTGCTAAATAATAGTTTGTTTACAACAAGCAGGAAATACATATTTACTTAAGAAATGCATGAATACAAGTAGTCTGAAATAAGATTTAACAGTTTGATCTTGAGGGACAGTGTTGGTAAATACTCACTTAATCTTCTTAACAGTCTTATGAAAATTCTCCTCTACTTTACAGATAAGGAAAACAAGGCCCAGGAAGAATAAGAAACTCACCCAAGATTGTCCTATGGGCTTGGGGTGGGGATGCGGTCACTTACATTAGTAAGCCAGTACTTTTCAACTAAGCCTCTTCGAGTATTTTATAGCAGATAGCCAGAAATAAACCCAATGCTTCGATAAGGCACTTAAATGTTGTTGCGTGGTGTTACGCCTAGGCATACGTATTTCGACTTCAGTGCCAGGGTTGAGAACTCTGAATCTTAAGCCTGCAGTCTGACATGTAGACCTCATTGCCTCACCTGAAAACTGTCTGGGAGTTTGCAGGCGATGTCCATGGTCCAAGCAAATGAAAGGAAGCATAGTGAATAATTGTCATTTCATGAGGTGTTAATAGAGTATTCAAAGAACATTAAAAAGTATAAAAGGGGAGGTGACTGGAGAGTGAGGTCATTGTATCAATAGACCTCAAAGAGTCTGAGGTCTTAAACTTAGAGGAGTGAATTTAGTCTTTTCCCAGCCTGTAGTTATTATTAAAACTTGACTGCATCCAGCATCTCAGAGAGACTTCAAAGAGATGCTATAAATAATTAGAAGGAAAACCTATACTGACATAATTCAAGCAGTGTAACAACAAAAGCAGGAATTCTTGGGTCGCCTAAAGAAATATCTTACAGACATGAGCCCTGGCTTGTGTGGCTCAATGGATTGAGCACTGGCCTGCAAATGGAAAGGTCGCTGGTTAGATTCCTAGTCAGGGGGCAGGGCACATGCCTGGGTTGGGAGCCCGGTTGGGGGCATGCGAGAGGCAATAAATATCTTGCAGAGACGAAAGGAAACATATACATTATCATCACTGCCCAGGACGTTGTCCTTGTACCAGCATCACTTTTGAACTGTGTAGACTGAGTAGACTCTCAGACCCACCCCAGAAACCTCCTGCCCATTCAAATGCACATTAAAGTTTGAGAACACACTGATCTAATTTAATCCTGTTATTTTACAGATGAAATAACAAGAGTGTTTCGAAGGAGCCTAAATCTCATAGTTAATTCTTGATATAGACAAGATTTTAATCAAAATGGGAAAATATAGAGGGACTACTACAAAATAGTTTTACACATTGAGTTGCAAACTGACCATTACATGTATTAATAATTTTTAAGATTATAAGTGGGAGTTATCAGAGATGCTGAAATGGGGAGTAAATGCAGTGTTTATGTAACCAGTTGAACTCCATAATCATTGTACCTCCAGCCACTCTTCTCTGTACAAATTCTTAGTATTTCCTTGGCAAAATGTATTTCCATAATGAGGGTGATCTTCCTAACATCAGTTTTTCCCCCAGTCCTCAGGGGCAAAAGCAAAATAATTTTTTTCTAGAATGTCTCCTCCATGCTATGATAATTACTACCATATTTAAATGTAATTTTCTAAAAATATAAATGTTAAATGCAACATCTTAGCTGTACACTATGATTATCTATCATTTCAATTTCTCAATTGATTTTCAAATAGTATCAAATCAGCTAGGTATTAATTATATTTTTTCCTCTTTTCCTTTTGGAGAAAAGAAACATTTATATTTTAATTCATGGGAAAGATAAAGCAATTATAGGCCATTTAAACATGCTTCATCCCAATTCTAACTTCTTGGGAGAAGTTAATGATTAATTAGAATTTAGGAGCAGATTAAAAACTGAAATAGCTTCTAAATGCTTAGAGATAGAAACAGGGTACAATAGTTAGTCTGCAAAAAAAAAAAGTGACATGTTATATTTTAACAAGCCTGAATAAAATAATTGTGGTTCACATCTTAGTTCAGGCTGCCATGACAAAAATACCATAGACTGGGTGACTTAGACATTTATTTCTCACAGTTCTGATGGCTGACAGTCTAAGATGGAGGTGCCAACAGAACCAATATTTGATGAGGGTCTGCTTTGTGGCTTGGAGGCAGCTGCTTTCTCCTGACGTCCTCACATGGCCCAGAGAGAGCAGAGAGGCTCTACCCTCATGGCCTAGTCACCACTCAAAGGCCCCAACTCCAAATACTGTCACTTTGGGGGTAGGGTTTCAACAAGTGCATTTGGGGGAGGGGACACAAACATTCAGACCATAACAACATCCGACTCTAGTAGCCTGAATTTATATCCAGATTGTATACGAAAATCTTTCAGGATTTGTCCATATCCCATAGTAGCAATATCCGTCACTGTTCTCAACACATTTTTCTTCCATGCAAAAGGTTCATCTGGGATGTTTTAAGCTCTTATTATGTACCCAACACTGCAGTACAAACTTCCACTTACATTGTCACACTGACTCTTCAGTCTGAGCTTGCCTCTTAAATTGGCCATGAGTTCAAATGTCTAAAATGGTAATCATCATCTGGGATTTATTCCAGAGAAACTTTTCTTTCTCATTCAAGTGACTTGTGATTTGAGAATTCTTAGTATCCTATGGTTAAAAATGATCAACACTACTGGAAAACAATGCAAAACCTAAAGTACTTGTAGGACTTCCTAGTCCCATCAAACCAAGTCTCCCCATTGACTCACCGTGCAATTCTCTATGCAGAGGATGGTGGTCATCAGGAAGAAAATTACCATCGAAGCTGGAATTATCATCTAGGACCCTAACTCCTAAGGTCCTTTTTAGAAAGAACCTTTTGGTTTCAGTTATTTTACCCTTGACAAAATGAATATTTATTTCCCAAAGCTTTGTAAAATTTGATGCTTTCCGCATAAAATGGAAGGTGTATTAATAAAAACACCAAGATATTTTTTGCAAGTGAGAACTCTCAGGCACAAAGAGAAGGGACAGAAGTTTCATTTAAATTGAAGTTACATTGACAACCATATATATGCGATGTTCCTCTTACACATCTACCACCCTTTACCCCTCTCCCCCCTAACCAAAGACAGGGAGGCAGGGAGTGAGAGAGGAAGGGACAGATGAATTCTACCTGCATTACTCAATTACCTGGCTCTTCAGGTCTACAAAAAAAGAGGGAAATATCTGAATCAATAATGAAGCATGGATAATAGCATGTAGAAGAAGTATTAGAGGTTCGAAGTAAACAGGGATCATGAAAGAGTTTGTGGGATGACTAGAATCCTTCGCTTTAAGTTTCAATTGAGTTGATCTCATTTCATTCCATCTCCTAGATCATATCTGATGTAGAATTTTTACAATAGGAGTCTAAGTCATCATGCCAATAACATGGTGCCTAATTCCCTGAAGTCTTCATCAAACTCCCTTTTAATATATCTTTCCTCACTGTACTATAGTCTGCCTGGTAAAATGTCTTTCTAAAGATAATTATATCCCTCTGGTATTTTTTTTATTCTGTAATAACTTTCACAGTGTTTGAAATCTACAGTCTTTGCTCTTTTATCTCGTAAGGCACAAGATTTTCCCTCGTGAAGAGTTCTTTCATAAGGAGATCTTAGAATTCTTTACAAATGTTAATTAATTCTCTCACCAGGAAATGACTCTCCCTATTTGGCATCCTTGGGAAACTGAGACAGAAAGTGAAGTGACCTACTGAAGTCCTGTAAAAACCGAACACTAGAGCTTAAATTACTATGCAGAGGACAAAGTCTCCGTGTTCTCTTCAGAAATATATTTTGTTTTGAACTTGAGATAAATAACAATGCTCAAAAAATCAAATCATAAATTAGACGATACCTGCATAATTTCACCTCACTGATATAAAAACCCAAAGAACAACTTAGTCTTAATGAAGATTTAGCCACTGTGACTTAGAGTGAAGCTCATATTACAAGGTTTTATTACCATACACATACACACACACAGCAGGCCTTTTAGTATCCCACGACGAAATGTTATTTGAAATCATTAAAACTAAACTGCACCTGTCAAAATAAATCAACCAATACATTTAGTGATTCAGAATGCATGAATCTTTATCTTTCCTATACACTCATTAATTCTTAATATTCTTTCCCACCATTGGTGTTTAATGTCTACGTATTCCTGTCCTATAAAAATAGTGCATGAAAATGAAGTTGGGGATTTGATGCATGATTCTGTCTGTGGATTCCTCTGGGTTGAGCTTTGTCACACAGTATGTGCTTACAGTACTGCTATATGGTTTTTCCTTCTACAAAAATGTTTTTACAGCTTTATGTTGTAAAAGCCAATTCAGCTGACAAATCCTGGCTGTGGCCTTTATGTATGTCTATTTGATTTAACATGCTTTTGATTAACAATGGAGCTTCCTGACGCTGTCAAAATAAGTAAGGTACAAATGCCTTTCCAGAAATGACTGTTTTTAAAAGAGAGATTAAGTAAACAAGCCATTCCTGCTGGTAAAATAATGGATTATGTTGCTGACTATTTAATATTATGTTGAGTCAGAAACTCCCTGGGGACACTCTATTACAGTAGCATAAACAAAGGGAGAGCTGAAGAACTGAAACAACGGCTCTCCATGAGGGAAGCCAATGAAGAGGCCATGAGATGTGTGTTCGAAAAGAACAAATGCACTCCTTGTTGAAGTAACCGACCAGACTGCATGAAAACATATACGTGAACTTCAGTGTTCCAAGCTTACCCGTGTCATATTTAAAAGGGACCTAAATGTTTTTCATAAATCATTCTTAACAGCTCTATAATGAAGTATGCAATTAAGAAAATGATACCGTTCATAAAATGGAAAATCTTAAATTTAGCAGGTAAGACTCTAGCTGATTTTAGTCTTTATTTTGCTTCGTAACAGTTCAGTTTTACTTCCACATTCTGGTTATAAGCAGGAAAATCTATTCACCTATTTTTCTTCAGTAGGGGTGTCAGAAAGAGAAATGAATCCACTCTCCAAGGCCCCCTTGCTGAGTTAGGCATGAAATATATTACTTAAAGATACTGGGTTAGCCACTACAAGGTATTATGCTTATATCTGCATAATCTGAGATGGCTGTGTAATTTTTTTCAAGTGTGTTTGGAGATTAGGAAACACTTGTTTTTCCTGCTATGTTGGATTTTGATAGAAGAAAAGAAGAGAGCAAACGTGTTTAAAATCTACTATGTCTTCCTTTTCTAATGGTGAAAGCTAGAAGTTTTCACAAACATTCCTTTCTTGAATTCTCCCCTAAACCAGGTGAGGTAGTTACTGTCCAAATTTGTACAGTGGAAGAAACCAAGACTGAGAGAGGTTTAGTAATTGACTCGAGGCCACACAGATAGTAAAAGGCATTGCTAGGTGTACTTGACCGCAAAGCCCTGGGTATTTCTGAGCTTCAGCACTCACACGTTTCCCTCCTTGGCACCTGGTTGGGAAGGAGGTGGGAGAGACGGCTGAACGATGGCATGGCCGACGATGGCATGGCCAATGATGGCATGGCCGACGATGGCCGGAGCCAGCCTGCTGAGCGGCCCTCAGACCCCGTCATGCCATTTCCCCCAGTCTGTTCAGATAATTTTCTAACATTTATTGGCAGCACTACAACCACTCCAATTCCTCCCATTTTCAGAGGGCTAGCCGGCTGACTGAAAGTGTTAAGAGAACTGTCTTAATTTAAAGGCCAAGTTGATTAACTTAAAATAGAAATATAAGTTTAAGGGTTGATGTAATAATAATAGCAAATAAAGAGACTGATACTAATTCTTTCTCTTTCAGATATCAAAGTGTACTTTTTAATTAAATGATAAGACATTTCCCCTTATTCTTTATTGCTGGTCCATTATACATTTGCCAATAGAAGCATCTTCTCCCTTAAACTAAACTGTAACTCATAATAGCCCCCACCATGAGTGGGATCACATCCGTATGAGTTGTTTTTCTTCTCACCCACCAGGACCCTGAGCTTGTAGGAAGAGTTGATGAGGTAGAGACCCCAGGCCAGAAGTACCATGAAGGATTCAGCCAGTATATCTTGTTTTCTGTGCTCTGTGGGGTATGGATTTGGAAATCAGAAAGACTTGTGTTCATATGTCAATGAAGTAATTAGGTAAATATATTAATTCAAAATTCAGATTCTGGCTCCAAGACTAGCTAGGTGGCCTTGAACTTCATTTTTTTTTAAATTCTGAGCTTCTGTTCCTCATCTATAAAACAGGGAGAGTATTTCCAATCCTACTGAGTTGTGGAGATTCTTCCAAATCACAAGTTCAAGACTGACAGAGAGCAGGCACGGTGGGACCTGCAGGACAGCTCCTGGTGAAGAGAGTAGGAGACTGGAGTATGGGAAGTGGGGAGGGAGGCAGGTAAATCAGGGGCAGGGTTTTGGATGAGGGAACAGTGGGCTAGACAATCTGAGAAGAGCCACTTTTATAGTGGGGTAGACAACATGTATGTCAAATGCGTGTGGGCAAGGCATGCTCCAAAACGTGAGCTTAAGTAGAGGAACAAGGACAGATGAAGGTATGATATTGCTGGGACCACTGCAGGGTCTGCAGGGATATCAGCAGACCCTAGGCAGTTGGAAGAATTAAATGAGATAATGTGAAGGAACCTCCCTTGGAACTTTATAGTAGACTCCCAATTCCCCCTTCCATTTCCCCCCGTTTTTTTTCCTTCTCATATACTATAACTCAGGAAACCTATCTTTTAAGAAGATGGATGTTTAAAGGATTTTAAATCCTGATGACATTTTCTGAATCTCTGCCTGTATCACAAAAAAAACAGTATTAAATTGTACAATTGAAGTTGACCTGAACAATATATTTTTGCCCTATTTTTAACTTACCTGCAATCATTTACCTCAACATTATACTAAAGGCCATTAATCCATTCCTGCCTTCCTCTAGTACTGGAGACTACTACTCAAGACTGGAGACTCTTTTTCTCAGAAGTTGGCACCAAGTTTCTTTTATATAACCACCAATAAACAGTGCTCTTGTGAATGAGCCTCTTCTCTTGCTCCAGGCAAAAAAACACCCACGGGATGGCCCTACTGCATCCCCGGGAAGGGCTCAGAGATGCCTCTAGCTGGGCACAAGAGTAAGCTGAGACAGAAAAGATGGGAAATGACCGGATATTTATGGCATGAACTCCATTTCTTCCAAACTCAACGCACATCTCTGAGGTGCTGAAGACTCACAGCCCTAGCTTTCAAGGCCACTTTTGAAACATATTGGCAACTTTCCTTCTTTAGCTAGTTTCCCCATGTGTGCCGGGAGATAATAATGATAACTAAACATAATTTTGTAAGGATTAATTAAGATAGCACATAAAAGCATCTGTCACATAGTAGTCACCTAATAACTAGCAATTGCAGGCATAGTAGCTAATATTTATGAAGAATTTAATTTACTCCAGGCAGGGCAATAAGTATTTTATGGACACTATTCTTTCTACTCCTTCTAACAACCCTAAGAACTAAGCATTACTATACTCACTTTACTAACAAGGAGACGGACGTGTAGAGCTTTCACGACTCATTCAGGGTTTCACAGATGGTAAGAAGAGAATGGAGGATGCAGATTCCGGTTTGTATTAGCCCACTACAGTTTAGTTAGATGGATCAAGAGGAAACCCATGGAGACCATGAGTTTGTAGATGGTCTAGAGCTTCACAGAAAAAGCTTCCGTATGATTACTTTTAATAAGAGAGTAAATGTTTTTATATATGAGCAAAGTGGCATTAACGAGAATTATAAAAAGCCGGTGGGGTTTATCAGAATATATATTTTTCTAAAACCTATTAACTCCAATTTTGGTAAGGTGTATCCCAGTATCAGAATAAAGTGTGGTGAGTAGAGATAGCTTGGAAAGAAGGTGATAATGCGTGGGGCAAATGCCAGGACGTAGTTGGGGCTGTAAACTTTATCTGGATTATTAACCACTGACTATCATCCAAAAAACACTTACTGCTTGCATGTAGCACTTGAATTCAATCTCCAGCTTGCTTTGGAATGGTGGTGTCAGGTTGTTCCTAGAGAAATCACACCTGAGAGTAATGTGGGGAGCGTTTTTCTGTGTATTTTTTAAAGAAAAAAATAGACTAAGCAACCCGAGTAGGGCCTGTGACTATTTCAGACCCAGAGGGAGACATCATATCAAATAGAAGAGGGAGAGCGCCTGTGAAAAATGTGAAGTTCAATGAGATGAAAGTGGAATAACGGTGATGAAAAGCAGCCCAAGGTTAAGGGATTGGGAAAGGGTGTTTCTCTTGTCTGGGTGTTTGAAGGCGTTAAGTAGTATTATCATTAATTGCATTTCTGTAATGTCCTGACTACTGGGGCCTAATGTCCATTCTAAGCACTATCTCAAGCTAGAGCGATCGAAAGATAATAAAAGGAAAACGAGTAATGAATCCTCTTTATTGTGCATTGTAAATGGCCTCCATTGAAACAGTCTGTGTTTAGACTGGTAATAAAATGAGTGATGAAGGCAGACGTTTAACGTGGGAATTCATTCAAGCAAGGAACATATTTTCTATTGGAAAAAAAGAAACTTGTGAATAATTTAGGTTATTGAGAAATCCTTTGCTTGGAAACTTTCTGCAACCACTGTATGGTTTTTATGGGCCTTGGCCAGGGGTGTGTGAGGTGTTTAGTTTTTTTGTGTTTGTTTGTTTTGTACTTTTTGCGGCTTGAAACACTGGCAGAGACTATGACAGTAGCTGAGGACACGGGATGTTATTTGTGGGTCTGTCGGCATGTAGACCCCTCTGTCTACGCTAGGCAAACGCAGGAGCCTAGGAACAACGTCGTTCATAAAATATGTGGCAATTCTTAGGTTTCAAGGACACTGCTAAGGTGAAGATCTGTGATACCAATGTTCACACTGTAGCCTTACCTAGATCCTGAAATCACTAATCCAAAAATCTATCTGCTCTCCCTTCTTGCTTACACTCCCCCTGAAAGAAAATAAACCTGATTCACTATGTTCTTACCCATCACAATGGAAGCCT